TGTAGGGGGAAAAAATTGGCTATGGGAGAGGGGAAGGGTGATTGATAGCAGATTCATAGAAATAAATGAAATTATCAGCAAAAGAGAGAGCTCTCTGCCCGCAATAATATACTGCATGTCAAACTGATTGATTGATTTTTAATTTTATCGTTTTGTGTCTCACCAAATAGTTAGGGATAAGCTAAGTGTATTTTGATTTCTTTTTTTGGTTTAGTTTTTTTCATCTAGTTCAAATAAATAAATACGTTTTCTACACAGCTGTTCTTCCAATATTTCCTATAAAATTGACCAGGAGAGGGAATCTACTGTGATGATACTATTCATTATGTGTTAAGAGTATAAATACTCAATACTGTAAATTCTCTGAAATAAAGGAGGATGTAGTGCCTTTGGATGGAGTCGTGCTTTATTTTACTTATGGCTCCTACCTATTATATAGCAGAAGTACTGGATCCTCTTTTCCCATCAGCTGATGGTTTTTTTCTGAAACAAAGGTTTGCGACTGCTGGGTTGTCTAGAAGGCTGGAGGTACATTTGTGCTGCAAACGCCATGTTTATGAAGATCTACACTACCCTGAAGTATTTTGCAGTAAAGAACGTATTTAAAAATCAGAGTAAATATAACCAGTTTATGGGACAGTGTGTGTATCCACTGTGACCTGAACTACCTGCCCAGGGTCCAGAGGATTTCCCCTTTTCTGTGTGCAAGGGTGCTTTTTAAAATCTGACAGATAATAATTAATATTACTATAAACTTTTTCGAATGACTTGTGCCTTCTGCTTTTTCATCACTTTAGTATCTGAGCATGTATACCTCTTAAATATTTTGAGTATAATAGGAACCCAGAGGGTAGGTCGATGCTCCCATCTGTCTTTCAAGATGTAAAGTGACTTTCCCAAGGTGATGCAAGTATTGCAGCAGTAACGCACCCAGAAATGGAGCTCATTGCCATTAGGATTTTAGTGTGTTTTCCTTAAAGTCTCTCAGCCCTTAATTTGTCTGATACAACCCAGTTTAGGGTGTTAAGATTGTGATTATTCAGGGCCAAACCTTGCAGGCTCCATATAGACAGTGTAAACGGAGTTGGTTTCCTAACCAAAATGATAAAATGATTCACAGAACTCACAACTGGAAGGGAACTGCTACGAACCACTGGCTACCTCCCCACTGCAAGGTGCTGCGTGTCAGCACGTCGTTCTGTGTGGGGCCCAAGGACTCGTGCTTCCTAAAAAGGACTTGTGCTTCCTAAAAAGCACTTCTGCCAGAGAGGATCCAGCCTTGATCTGAAACCCAAGAAAGCAATAGTCTGCTGCCTTCCTCTGCCCTTCACTGTGGGGAAGTCAGTCTTGCTGCTTTCTAATGGGAGCTCGTCTGGTTGTGTCTTCCATTAATTCACCAAATACCTGTCTCTGCTGCCCGAGTCCTCACCACCGTTTCCCCGTGAAGCTTTCTGTGTGGTGCGGGCAGTCCAGCCCTCAGGTCGACTTCAGGGCTGATGGACCAGACTGAGCTGCTTAAAACCTGAACTGTTTCCTCCAGGTTTTTGAGTACCACTTCGGCTCCTTCCTGTGCATCTCCAGTTTAACAATATAATTTTAAAGATCTGGGGACCGGAGCTGAACTTGTAATTCCGTTTTTGCTCGCTTTATTTTTTTTTCTGAAAGGATAAGATGTATCAGAGGAGTGTGCTGTCCCTCCTTGCCAGGGCACTGAGCTGGGAGATCAGTCACAACGTGCTGATGCAGGCTCACTGCTGGAGCCCGCTGCCGGGTTCAGGCCTGTGGCACTCTGGAGGCATCACCTTTTTTAATTTATTTTTTATTTTTTTTTCCTTACCCACACCCCCGGCAGTGGGGGAGCCTGTTTTGGTTTGTTATTCTTTTCAAATGGCTTCAAGTTGCAGTGATTTGGATCTTTCTCTATAACCATGCTGTCCTCATTCATTTCTCTGCCAGTCTAAGTTACCACCTGCAAATTTTGAAATGTTTATTTCCATCATTGATGGTCTTTTCCTGTTTACAGGTACTTCGGAGGCCTGTCAGGTAGCCCAGACATTGATCCCATACCTTACTGAATCGTACAGATGAGGGTGTAATTTAGGACACTGAAGACAAAAGCAGTGGAGTTTTCTGAGATGAAAAGGCAGCAGTTCTCTTATGTTTAGGCTATTTACATGTGTGGTTTGTTCCGTTCTGTTTCCAAGTATGCATTTGAACGTGCCATTCTTTGTGTCTGAGATAGCAGCAGAATAACCTCGTGGTTACTAAGGTAATGAGAACCCACCGTTCCCTTACCAATTCATGTAAATAAAGTATGGAATTTAATTTCACTCTGTGTTACCCGAGGCAGCTCTGGCATCTGATAAAACAAATGATCTTCACATTCTTCTCTGCTTCCTTTCTGATTTTCATTGAAAGATTGAGATGTTTCTCGTTTTGTAAATAAATGAGGCTGCCCTGCAGATGGTGGGGTAGAAAGTAGCCGAAGAATTACATCTTTTGTCTTGCAGCTATTTTTCCCCTCTGTGACAAAATATATTTGTCTTCCTGCTGAAATGCTTCTATTGCATGTGATGGGGATTGAAGATTTGACACCCATAAGAGCTCCTCTTCTAATTTTTCTCTTGGTTAGCAACTTAAACATTTAGTGTTTGTTCTTGTGCTATGGATTGCAGGCACAGCCCGAGTGTGAATCCCAGATTAATTGCTTAATCAAAGGAAGGAAGGTTCCTTTCTGATTGTGTATCAAAGGGCAATATGGTAAAACCACAAATTTGCAAATGCAGGACACGGGTAGGTGGGTGGGTGAGACGCCCAGCGAAATGATTCTTGACAAGAATTGCCAGTGGCCTTGGGAGTGCAGGCAGCAAACGAGAAATCCGACGGAGCTCTGACTGCTGTGCAACCAGGCAACACTACACCCCAGACCATCTTGACTTTGTAATGGAAAAAGAGAATCCGTATCAAGCTACTCAGCAGCTAATCAATCACCCGAGTCCATCGGGCTGGGCATGGAAGATTGTATCTCTTATGTACATGAGGAGGAAGAAGAAACAGCTGGGGCATGGGATGGAGTTGTGCTTGAAGTAAGGGGATCTATTGTAAGAGCGAGGCAGCTTGTTCTGCTGCAGAATGGGCCTGCAGAAATAGCGTTCCTCCTTTTTTGCTCACCATCTGTAGGAAAGAATTTATATCTTAGCCATGATAGAGTGATATCAAGTCATGGGTCACTCGCAAATATAAGTTACCACAGGTGGGGTGTTTTAGCCTAATGGCTGTTTGGATATCAAGGCTTTATATTCCAACAGCCTACCTGCTCAGAGAAGCAGACTGGGGAGATGAAGTGGACAGCTGGCATAACATACGGACACTTGAACCCGGAAATGAAAAGACAGCTGCTGCATCTAATTTTAAACGTAGGTCTTGATCAGATCCCTCTAGATCCTGGTTGTCCTGCTACAGCAGGGTCATTAGTGGGACTAGAGAGGCGTGAAGTTGAAGATACTGGTAAAAAGCTTTTGTGAGAAGGGGAATCACCCTTGTTCCAGCTATGGTATTTCCATTATTCACAGTAAGTATTGTCAACTTGCAGAAAATGTGAGTGGAAATAGTTTCTGGCTGGTGCATTGTCTAACACTGCTGAGAGAGACAGCTTTTCTGGATTGTCTTCATGGGCCGTGGGACTCGCCGTCCTGAAAGCACAAGGGCAGACAGCACTGTTTCAAATTATGAAACTATGTAGCAGTGAGTTTTTTTCTAATATTTTAAAATAATATATGGTTATAGTATCAGTCACGAGATGATAATTCCGAGGTTTTACATCAGGTGTCAGGAATGCAGCGGGCATTAGCAGCGATCCGGAGTGCCATCTAGTGGGGTTCTGCAAATCTAGCTTGCTGGTTTTTTTTAGCAAGTGCAAAAATAACCACAAGTAATATTGTACCTGTATAATTCTTCATTTAGGATTAACAAGTTAGACATTTTATTAATTCGGCAGCTGGTTCAGTATTTTCAAGTGTCTGTTTTGCTTTCAGAGTACTATTACTGAGTTGGGTTTTTTGTTTCAAAGTGCAACAGCACCGCTCCGCTTTATTATGACTTGGATGCTAAAATTAAGGGCTATGGCAACATTTCTGGTATTTGTTCTCTTTTGGTAGTTGGCTAACCTATGGGAATTTGCAGTAGGTGTGGAAGCGTGTAGCACATTGCTCCTCTGGCATGAAAATTCCCCTCTGTTAGACCACTCTGTTAACCACACGATAGGTTTGGAAGTAACAGCTTTGCTAGTTTAATCTGCTTCAGGAAAGTGGAGTGTGCAGACTTTTTAAGGATTTATATATAACGGTAAACTTGATGAAATAAGGATAAATAATTAAATTTGTTTTCTTACAAAACTTTAAATACAACCTGACTTTACATTTATGGACCTTGATTAGGCTAGAAAAGTTACAAAAATATAGTTGTATTCTTCTAAAGACGGTCTACTTAAACTGGTGTCAATCTCTGATACAGGAACAGTCTAAATTAGTTAATGATCGCATTCATATATAAATGCAGTACGCAATTAGCTGTCTTTTTTCCTAAGGCAAAGTGGGTAAACCAGAAAGATGTTTGTGCTAAGGTGGCATGTAAAATTGTCACTGGAGAGCACTGTAAATAGAATGAAAAGGGCTAAAGAGAGAGGCAGTCAGAGCTGAAGTTGTTGGGACAGAGAGCATAAATGGCCAAGCAAGAGGTCACATTTCATTTAAACGTGTCCCCTAATTTCCTTTCAGCAGTATTAGCACAGCTAGTATTAGATTGGTGTTATATTTAAACTCTCAGTTTTCCTGCCTCCTACGCAACCGAATTCTGTTCTTGTTGATTAAATTCGAAGGTTTTGAAATGCCAGCTGCCAAGGATGGTTTACTTGAAATCTTCTACCCCATGTTGGCTTCTGTGTCCTTTCTAAGCACGTGTTTTTGTCTGCACCTCCTGTCTAATGCTCTTACTGTCAACAGGCAAGTTCAGAGGTACCAAAATTGCGAAAGGAAGACCAAAAAGCACGGAACGCGCTCTTAGCTGATATCCAGCAGGGCACTCGCTTAAGAAAAGTGACTCAGATCAATGACCGCAGTGCACCGCAGATTGAAAGTAAGTGTGTGCTCCCAAGTAAAGTCCCTGGGTGAGCTTTGCTGAAGCCTCGCTTGTGGAGGTCAGCTGGGCAGTTTTCCAACTGAAGGGCGGGTTTGAAGTTCAGCAAAAGCCTGCATCTTCGTCGAGCTTTTAGGAGGGACGCTTTCTAAACTTGCATCCTGCTCTGAGGTCAGTAACTGTTAACGCTTCATCATGTCTCTAACTGGGTGTCACCTTAACAGGTATTCCTTGTCCAAAAAAAAAAAAAAAAAAAAAAAATATCACGGACGATGAAATCCTGGAGAGTTTCTCGATAAAATAATTGTTTAAGAGGGAATTGTTGGCTCTGGCAGAAGAGTTGTTCTTTACTAGATAAAAAGAACAAAAAATGCCAGAAAAAAATCTGGAAGCATAAATTTAATGTTGTTTAACACAACCTGTTGCTGTCATTATTGATGTGAGATTTAAATGCACCAGAGGGTGCTGTGCTCCAAGACAGGGGTCAGAGAGTAATGGTGATTTACCGTATTAACAGTAACTTTCCTTGCTGAGCCTGCTTAAAGGGGGAGAAGTCAGGTCTTCGCTATGTTTGTTGGTGCCAAGTTGCAGCAGTCTGAGGGCAAGGATGAAATGACTTTCTGATACACCCTGGTTTTTTGATTCTTTTTAACAGAACCCAAAGGAGCTAACAGAGATGGAGTTAATCCAGCCATTAATAAAGGTGCCTCTCAGCAGCCTCTGGGAGGTTTATTTGCTGGTGGCTTTCCCGTCCTCAGACCAGCAGGCCAGAGGGACATGACGGGTAAGAGCTTCGTTTGTATGAAAGAATAGCTGGGGGGAACAATGATTTGAGATGAAAGTACTTTGGGGTTAGCTTTAGTGATTGATTTTTATTGTTTTTTTCTGAACCCTTAGTTCAGCGTGTGGCCATGGAGGGCTCAATTAATAATGCGCTTGAAATCATCTTTCTAGATCTCGGGTGCCTTATTCCTTAAATGTAAACAATTCATTAAAATGTAAATAATAAACTACACTGGGTAGGAAGGAGATTTAATAAATTGTACAGAGTTTTAGTGGAGATTTTTTACATTAGTTTAATGAAAAATTGTAATTGTACCTGAAATAGCGTATTGAAATCTGAGCTTATCAACTTCAGCACGAGTGGCAAAGAAGTCCTATTTCCTCCTCTCCATTAGCATGTATTCCTATGGTATTACAGGCTTGCATGTTACTTTAAAGACTCATATTTAAGATTTTGGCCCTCTGGATTTCATAAAGTACAGCTTTGATCCAGTCAGGTAATTTATTGACCTGAAAAAGGAGGTTATTGTTGCTTCACAAAGGCAGGAGGAAGGCACGTGTGGGAGCCCTGCTGCTGCTTTCACCTCGGGAAGTGCCAGCACAAGGAGGGGTGACTTTTAGAGTCACGGGAACGGGCTCCGGCTCTGTTGGGCAGCTGGTGCCTGCTCAGGCAGCACAGAGCAAAGTAGGCGTTTGCACGGAAAGACAGAACTTGGCTCTGCCAGCAGGTTTTGTTTTCCTGGAAGGCAAGCCCAGGATGCGCAGCACTGCTTGTGATAGGGCTTCCTCACACAGCTTCAGCTGCAGTAGCCTTTGAGCTGTTCCTAAAACTAGGACTGTGCCTATCAGATGCCTTTTTTGACATTATTCTTTGTGAAAAACCCTTGTCATTTCCTACTCAGGAAAATATATTTGGTAAGCTCAGGAGTCTGAGCATTTGCTATTGAAAAGGAAACATGGGAACCAGTGCCTTCTGGAAGGCTTTTGAGGCCCTGCTTGTATGAACTTGGCTTTTATCCATGGGATCGAGATTTTATGTAATGTTTGTGTGAATTTTTTAATCTTAAGCAAGTACTTAACTTCAAGTTGATGCACGTCAATCGACTTGTGTTCTCTGAGGCCTTTTCACTGGGACAGTGGATTCCTCCGAGCAGAGGGCTCATCCGTGTTGGGTGGGCTGTGCTCGGTGGGTGAGGCTGGTGTGAAGGGCCCCAGGCCTCTGCAGAAAAGCACCCTCTCCTGAAACTGTTTCATTTTGCAGAAACTGAGGGAAAGGGAGGGGAGCGGGGTCTCTCAGCAGATCATCCTGTAACTAAGCAGAGTCGCTGGTGCCGGGTGGCATACATCACCATTTTAAGCCCCGTTGCACCTGTTGGATATGAGATGTTTCGGGACAAATTTGTCGCTCCGGGGTAACCCCCGGGGAAGGTGAAGCGCGTGCTCTTTGTCGTGCTTTTGATGAGAGGAAACAAAACGCTGAATGTATAACGCGTGATAACCTGTTTTTCAGCTGGGAGGCCCGGGCAGCTCCCCGGGCTCCGAGCGGCGGCTCCCAAGGCCTCGGCCCCACCAAACATCGGCGCTGCAAAGGCGAGCAGTAACCCCCCGCACCCAGCCGAAGGCCCGAGGGCAGCTGTGCCCCCCGAGCCTCCCTGCACCCCCCGAGCTGGGGCTGGGGCTGGGGCTGGGGATGGCCCCGGCCGGCCCAGCCTGCCTGCCCCCCCTCCCCCGCCTCCTGCTTCCAGCAAACCTTCCCTCACCTTCCCTCCTCCTCCCCCTCTCCCCCCCCCAGCCGAGCGCCCTCCCAAGGGGGTCTCCCCCAACGCTGCCCCTCCGCCCCTGCTCCCCCCTCCTCAGGCTGACAAACCCACAAAGTATCAAGCAGTTGCTTCGCACCCACCGCCTCCTCCTCCTCCTCCTCCTCCTCCTCCTCCTCCTCCCCCCCTGCCCCCTGTGCCCCCCTGCGGGTTTCCGAGCAGAACAAGCGATTTCTCCGCTGCTGCTGCTTCCTCTGCCCCTGAGGGAAGGGACTGCCCGCCCCCCCCGCCTCCTCCTCCTCCGCCACCCGCGCACACCTTGGCTTCAACCAGGCTCTCCTTCCCGCCCCCCCCCGCCTTTAGCAGCAGCGCTGACGTGCCCCCGCCGCTGCCCCCCAAGTCTCCCCACTTGCTCTCGCAGTTCCATAAGCCGAGCAGCATTCAGTCCCTGCCGCTCCCTCCCACCCCCGGCCTCCCCCAGCCCGCAGCCGTGGCCGAGGCCAGGAAGAAGAGGCCCGGCCGAGGCGCAGGTGAGAGCGGCACCTTCCCAGAAGGGGAGGTTTAGTTGTCTCCCTTTGGCGAGCGGGGGGGGGGGGGGGGGAAATCGCGCTGGAGGGCTTGGAGGGGTGGGGATGAAGAGCCCCTGTAGCGGGAGGGTGAGGTCCATCACGCAGGAGATAACACCCGAAGGTTGCCCGGCGTGTAACGAGCGTGAGAGGCATCAGGCTCTTCTTAGCAGTGGGCACGCGTGCCGTGTGGTTTAATCCGTGATTGTTGGGTGAAAGCAACGTTTTGGGACCGCTGGGCTGCTTGTTGGTGTGTTGGCGTTGGTGTGTCTCGGGCGAGGGGAGCTCGGGACCTGACAGCCGCGGGCGAGGGCAGCGCCACCGTCCCTGCCAAATCTGCGGCTGCTGGAGCGCCAGCCTGCCCCGGCCATCCCCTGCTGCTGTAGCCCTGCAGCCTGGAGCAACGCTGGGAAACGGCACCGGGAGAGAATCAACCAAAGATGGGGCAGCTACAGCCGTACAGGAGCAAATACGGCTGCAGCCCTCTGATTTTTTTTTTCAACAAAGAGGAGCGGCCAGTGCCTCCTGTGCTCAAGGTGGCAGGGCCAAACGCTCCTCTGACTACTTGGGAAGTGGGGATATTAGCTAGTGTTGCCTTGCCCAGACAGTAGAAGGAACTTTTACCAGACTTCTCTGATATAATGAATAAAAAAAATAATGAGCTTAGATCTGTGTGGGTTTGAGAAATGGAGACAGCTACTTAATAAGGAGCATCTGAAGAGAACATTCTGTACCCTGTATTTTAGCAGCCACATGTCGAGAGAAAGATTGCTGGTTCCCTTTGACAGCCATGGGAAAGGCAGTGTAACTGCAGCAGATCAGGTGCTTCGTGATGGTGATTAATCAGGAACTGTATTTTATTGAGGTGCCTCTTTCTCATGGTGGTTCTGCCTTTGAGGTTTCCATAAAATTAGCCTGCCTTTTTCTTGGTTATCTAGGGGGAGAAGCAGTTTCGAGAGGCTGCTGACTGGGAGGCTTTTGGGCTCCCTCCTCCTTACACAGTTCCTGTTGGTAGGTCTGCCCAGAAAATGTAAACTTTGACAGCTCTTTCAATTCCCCGGTGAAATGCACAAGAATAATGGTAATTCCACTGAGCAGCTGCAAAAGCGTCAGGAAATTATTTTCTTTTAGAGGTACCATCTATAGTGTGGTTGGTTTGGATTTTTTTCTTAAAGAAACTACTTGTTCCTGTGAAAGTGGAAGGATAGTCTTCCCCTCCAGACTGGGACAAAACCATAATTCAGAATGTCAGGCTTTCCCTAGAACTAGAAACAACAAGCCCCAGCCAACTCCAGTAATGACTTAGATTTAACAGTCAATGCTATAAACCCGTAGTCAGGCTTGACAGCAGCCATGAAGTTGGGTAAGTTAGCTCCAAATACTGCATTCCAACACTCCCTCCACGTTTGTGCAAAGCTTACGGTCACATTTAAGTCACGATGATGTTTATGTGCTGGTGTGCTGCTTTTTCAGGAACCGGTGCTGGGAAGCTGGTCACACCTCCACAGCCACCAGCAAGATCGCCAACAACTGAACTTACAAGCAAGTCCGGAGTCTCAGCCTGGGCTACAGCTCATGACCCCTACCCACCACTTAAAAATGGAAATATGCACATCCTTGGTAATAGAATCTAAATTAGATCTCCTAGCTGTAGTTAATAATTTTAGTACAGAAGCCTGTGTGTGTCTCAGACCTCAGAAATTAATTCAAGGCTTTCTCGTGGCAGTAACAGGGTAGGATAACTAGAGCATTGGAAACGTTTTTGTACGGCCTTATGCAGTGAGAGAAAATTAAGGCTTTTTCACAAAGGTTTTGAATGATCCAGTAGACAGGAAAAGGATGCACTACCTGCAAGATTATTTAAGATTGTGAAAAGTTGCTCTAGTGTGCTATTACTGTTCTTAAAACCCGCTCGTGGACCTTCATGAGCTTCAATTCTATAGAACAAAGGCTGCTAAGAATTATTTTTGTGGTCTGATGAATTGGCCGTTCATTCTTGTTCATAGCTAAACGGCTTGAAAACCACCTAGGAATACCTCTATTACAATATCATCAGTGCAGAGAACTGGAACGGCAGCCAGAAGCTTAACTTCAGTTAGTAGCAGGCAGTGCTTACAATTAAGCCAGAAAACTTGGATGGCTCACAGAAGTACTCATCACGATTGTTTATATGGAATGAGCCACTATCAATTCCAGGGGGAAAACAAGTCAGCATTTTTAACTGAAATTACTTGTGACAGGGTGTTTGTTTTTTGTGTTTTTTTTTTTTTTTTTAAAGTATATCTCTAATAGGGACTAATGTTTATTTCCCTGAAACTTCCCAGATGACTTTGAATCTAAATTTACTTTCCATTCTGTGGAAGATTTCCCCCCACCTGATGAATTCAAGCCATTTCAGAAAATATATCCCAGCAAGATAGCTAGAGGTAAGTGTGCAAACATGAGAAAGTCTGATAATTATCCCATAGGGTTAAAAACGGAGTGAAAATAAAGAACAGAAACTGGCATTAACGTGAAGAACTGGGCTGCTAGCATAGGCACAGGGAGGAATGGGATTTGTTACTGTGGTAATAGGGACAAAAGGTATAATGAAAACCACTGAATTTACTTTAAAGTCTTGGTAGCTAAAAATAAAATTATGTGTCTTGGCATGCAGTCTGTGTTATTTAGATTGTTGAGTTTGCAGAGCCCTTGATGTTAAAAGCAGTGATGTCACAGAAACAGACTTAAGCAGCTACTGAGTTGGGGGTTTTTCTGTTCATGAACTTGTGAAATGGCAAAAGAAAGGTGACTTGATCCATGTCTTCCATCACATGTTTTGATTTAAATACTATGCATGAGGTTTTACACACCTGAATAACAAATGGACATAGTACCTGAACCTTGTCAGGAAAGTGACTGAATGTTGCTGCTTTCCCCCCCCTCCCCCCCCCCCCTTAACTTACAAACTTGGTACTAGGTCACTGTTGTAGGAGCATAAGTTCACCTATCCAGCTTTGAAAACTGGTAGTTGAAGGTGCCAAAAGATCTCATGCCCATATTCTGCTTTTTACAAAACCCAGTCTTTTCTGTTTTATTAGATCAACTTCTTCTCCAACTTTTCATTAATTTTTTTTTTGGTTTCCATGCCAAGTTACTTTGCATGACTTTTCACTGCAGCCTCAGTCAGTTTAAACTGTCTGCTCTGTGATCTGATCAAAGACTTTTTACTGAAGGGCTACAGAACATGCGCAATGTATACGTAGCAGTTCAAGGGGAGGAGATAAATGCAGCATCGCTGCTGTAGAACTGCATCCAAAATACCTGTCCAAAAAATGTGTCTTTCTCCTCTGATTAAACCTGTCCTATCTATTTACAGATCCCTCTAAAAATCCTCCACTAAGAACACATGTGAGATGAGAAGAGTCTTCGGATGCTCTCTGGATTAGTATTAAAAAAGAACATCTCAATAATATATATATAAAACTGAAGGGGTCCCCATTACATTGATAAAGATTATATTTGAATTACAAGTTCTGCAATGTTAACATTTTTATAAACTGGAAAAGTGATGTAAATGATAATTTTTGAACTGGCCTATGTACTACAGGAATGTTAGTACACACTTTTAAATTACTGTATATAGGTGGATATTTTTTAAGTAAAGCAGCATTAAATTTAAATTCTTTGTCGTGTTGAAACAGTTCTTATTCTCATCATGCTGGCAGATGTTACCTCAGAATACTTGTTGCATTACATGCCCTGCAGTTAATTTTTCCCCTTCCATCATAATTTTTAAGTATTTTGGAAATTCTCCAATTATTATTTAGACATTCTTCAGTGAACTATCAGAAAGTAACGTGCTACCTTTAGTCTCTTTGCATGTTTCTTCACTTCTTCTATTCTGCCTATCCTCAGATTGCAGCAGAATGTAACTTTCATGAACAGATGGGCCCACAATCCTTTTCTCATCAAGCATGAAGAGGAGGAAAGACATGGCAAGGAGCTGTGGCTGCTGTTGAGCTTGCCTCTTACTGATTGCAGATCCTTATAGGATAGTGTCTGAAGAAGCCCAGCTGGGTAAGGGTGGTCACGGACTTAAAAAAGAAGACAGAACTTTTCCAAACTGGAGGAAAAGAAAGTCGTTCTGCTGTAAGCAGAGACCACCAGTGCGTGTGAATACACGTGCCGTGAAGTACGTATGTAAAGGCACGTGTCCTGTCTTCTCCTGCAGGCAAAGTGGGTATTTACCATTTGTGTGACAGACTGGCTTTGCCCAGCAATTAGGAGGGCTCTGGATGGGGGGTCAAGCACTTAAACAGGAAAACTAAAGCCACTGTTGTTCACCCGTAGCAGCAGTGAGGATTCATTGTCCAAAACACACCGCATGGAACCAGCAGTCCCCACAGCGGTTGTAATTGTCCGTATGTCTTCCCTCTTCATTCCCTTGGATAGAGCTGGTTGGAAAAAAACTAACAACCTAGCAGCAGACAAGACTGGAGGTTCTGCTTTTAATACGCAGCCTGGGGTAAGGGCTTTAGATTGCCGAGGTTCAGAGCTGGTCAGTGTCTGTTTTCAGCAAGAATTGCCCTATTCTTGTGCATTTCACTGCATCAGGGGCAGTGTTGCCAGCGAGTTGAGGGAGGTGATCCTGCCCCTCTGCTCAGCACTGGTGAGGCCACACCTGGAGCGCTGGGTCCAGTTCTGGGCTCCCCAGTACAAGGGGAATGTGGGCCTGCTGGAGAGACTCCTACAAACAGCCACTGAGGCGATGCAGGGACTGTGGCACCTCTCCCGTGAGGGAAGGCTGACAGAGCTGGGACTGCTCAGCCTGGAGGAGCGAAGGCTCAGAGGGAATCTCATCAACGTGTGTAAGCATCTGAAAGGAGGGTGCAAAGATGGAGCCAGGCTCTTTTCACAGGAGGCTCTGTCTGTACATCAGGAAACACTTTTTGACCGGGGGTTGACCAAGCCCTGGCACAGGTTGCCCAGGAAGATGGTGGAGACGCACTCCTTAGGGATATTCGCAGGCCATCTGGATGTGGTCCTGGGCACCTGGCTCTAGGTGGCCCTGCTTGAGCAGGGCAGTGATTACCCTTTCTTCCAGCTTTCCAGGGTTCCTGCACTCGAGTCACAACCAGCCCATGCAGCGCTACAGGCTTGGGGCGGAGTGGCTCAAAGCTGCCTGGCTGAAAAAGACCTGGGGGTGTTGGTCAACAGCCAGCTGGGTATGAGCCAGCAGTGTGCCCGGGTGCCAACAGCATCCTGGCTTGTATCGGGAACAGTGTGGCCAGCAGGCCCAGGGAAGGCATCATCCCCCCGTACCTGGCACTGGTGAGGCTGCACCTTGAACACTCTGCTCAGTTTTGGCCTCCTCACTGCAAGAAAGACATTGAGGTGCTGTAGTGTGTCCAAAGAAGAGCAACAAAGCTGGTGAAGGGTCTACAACCCAAGTTTTTATGAGGAGCAGCTGAAAGAACCAGGGTGGTTTTTAGTCTGAAGAAGAATGAGGCTGATGGGAGGCCCTATCGCTCGCTGCAACTACCTGCAAGGAATTTGTAGCGAGGTGGCTGCTGGTCTCTTCTCCCAAGTAATAAGCGATAGGACGAGAGGCAATGGCCTCATGTTGCACCAGGGGAGGTTTAGACTGAATATTAGGAAAAATTTCTTCACCAAAAGGGTTGTCAAGCACTGGAACTGGCTGACCAGGGAAGTGGTTAAGTCAGCATCCCTGGAGGTATTGAAAAGCTGTGTGGGTGTGGTGCTTAGGGACACTATTTTGTGGTGGATGTGGCAGTGTTAGGTTTGCAGTTGGACTCTGTCTTGAAGGTCTTTTACAACCTGAATGATTCTATGATTCACCCTATTGGAACAGGGCACTGCTGCTCCAGGGCGAGCCTGGAGCTAACGGCCAGGCTAGTTACAGTTCTGGCATTAATTTCTATAATTGCCATAAATTCCCCTCAGCTGTAGCTGTAACCGTGTTACAGATCACAGGTAAAGATCTTTCCCTGTGGCCACGCCTTTGAACAAAGCTATTTGGAAAAGACAGGTAACTGCATCTTTATGTATCTTCGCTTTTCTCTCAGTTCTTCCAACAGCTCAGTTGTGCTGCGTTTCTTCCTCCCACACACATGCGTGACCATGGTGTGGAGATGGTGTAAGGGTAAGCAGCTCTTCATCTGTAGGACCCTACGAAAGCATCATTAGTCTTTTTCTAGCCTATGATGATACCTCGCTGTATGTCATGTGAAAAAAATTAGTGATGCTTTGACCACTACTTGCTGTCACTGTCATTATTATAGTTACTTGATATGCATGGATATAGTAATAGTTGTTTCTCAAACAACTGAAAAAGTTTAATACCGTTTTGAAGAATATTTTGTTATAGTATTATTAAAGGCGACTTATTGTTGGTTCTCATTTGTTCTGGAACTTGTGTACTGCTCTGTAATAAGTACCTCCATAAGGAATTTAAAACTACTTAGTGCTAGACAACCTGCTAGAAGACATCTAAAGGAGAAAAAAACCTGTACTCCTGTTTTTATTATTAGGAGTATTTTAGAAGCAAACAACATCTTTCAGGGATTAAACTGGAAAACCTGTGCCCATTCGCAAGTGTTGGTGCAATGTTATTTCCATAGATACTGGGTTGTTGTTCAAGGTCTGTTGAAGCTTCTGATGTTGCTATGACCTGGAGCTACGGTGACTCACACAGGCTGTCACCCGGTGGCAGCTGGTCCCATTACATCCTGCCCCTGAGCCACAGCTGCACTCAAGACCACTGGAAGTTTGAAGGCTGGGCAGGTGCTCTAGTTTCTCAAGCTTGTAGGACTAGTGATTGCTCTCAAGCATGTTGGTTGTAGCACAGTTTGGTTTTTTTTTAAATGCCTTACACAGCTGAAGCAAAAGCAAAAATACTATTAGAAAATTACTACCTGGATCACTCTGCTCCAAACAATTTATTAGTTGTCGTATAAGCAGTTCCAAGTAAGGACATAAATTCCCACAAAGTAATTGCAAATGTTGATTTCTTCTTTCTTAAGAAACAGGCAAATAAGAGAGATTATGTTTTTAGCAGAAACATCTTCTTCTTTCATCTTGCCTCCCTCCCAGCTCTAAAAGGTTAGAGGTCCGAATTGTGCAAAAGAGCTGTGTGAAGTGGTAGATCCTAGTTTTGGCCCTCTGGTTGGGGCAATCATTGTTGAGGTGTTGCTGCCTTCTAATGAGCTTTGATTTCCTCGATATAAAAGTCCAAGGCTATCCCCTTCCCTGAACAGTGAAGCAGTTTAACTCCACGTGCTAACTTCCACTTGGTAAAGACAGCGACTTCTTGTCTGAACCTCCTGTTACAAAAACCCCAACCACCTTCACGTGTCCCAGGAAGCAATCTTTACTGGTTTAATTCTTATAAGCGTTTAACCTATCTCGCTTCTACAGGAAGAAAATAGGTGAAAAGCAGGTCTGTCTGTAAGACTGTCAAGGAAGGGAAGCATGCTGCAGAACTGCACTTAATATAAGGAAGCGTAAGACAGCCACTTGCAAGCCTAACCAGCTGGATTGCCATTGCCACCAGTAACCCGATGGATTCATCAGCTATGTATGCTCACCACGGAGATTACTAGGAACTGTTCAGCAGTACAAAGGCAGAAAGATGGAAAAGGGTCAGGTATTGATCAAGGTTCCCTCAAAAAATGCCAAAGTTTTAGCTTGCATATAAATATGACACCTTATTAATTGCATCTTAAGAGCCAAGAGGTTACGTATAGATGTCTCGGGCATCCAGGCTGGCACTGCATTTCAGTGCTCAGCACTAGAGCAGCAGCCAGGTGCGTTACAAACACAGGCTTCCCGAAGTTGTGTGCAGGTGAAGGCAAAACTTAACCTGGGGGACCTAATTCTGATCAGTTCTACAGGCGTAATGTCAGATGCTCGGTTACTGTAACCAGACACACCCTCATGAGCCCAGAACAGCAAGGTCAAGAACCAGGACTTACCTTCCTGCCCCCTCAAAACTGGGATTTCAACTCCACCGTTCTTTGTATGAATTTGCAAGAAAATAAAAATGCAATTCAGCTTTTCTGCAAGCCTAGTCCTGAGCAGTAGAGGAAAAAAAACAGATTGCTTTCAATGACAATATGGCAGTTAGCCTGATGAAGTTAATCTTTGCTTTAATTGGTTGCCCAACATACATATTTAAACATTCTGTACTAAATTAGCCAGCATGCACACAGTAATTGGACCAGTCAGTGACTTTCTCCTTTCACTATATACATACACAAACAGGAACACCACAAGATTGGACAAGGGAAAGCAATTTGTTAATTGGATACAGCTAGCAAGTAACATTTTTTTTCCCTATAAATGTTTTTCCTGCAAATTCACAAGTGTGAAGACTTTCTTTCAAGGCTTGAAGAACTTTGCAGTCTTCCAGTGAAAAGGCTAACAATAGCCACTGTAGCTGAAATGAGATAAAATTAATTTAAAATCCATTCCAAGCAAGAGCGAAACAGAAAAAAAAAAAAAAAAATGCCTGCAATGCATCTCAGGGAAAAGGGACTTTGGAAACAATCTGAGCAGATGCACTGAGGTAGAAAGGTGGCTTTGGACTCGATTCGGAACACCCTTAGCTTAGTGTAAAAGAGAAGGAAGAGGATCAGAATCGGAT